CTGTATGCCTAATAACATCAGGGAATTTAGAATCACCAGTGTACACTGAAAAAGCATGAGAATGAAAATGAAGATTGATGATCAAGAAAGAGGAAGCATAAAGCTAAAGTAGCCAATTGAGCTTTTGCACAAGGAAGCAGAGAAGAGCAAACAAATCATCAGGACTTTCTAAAGGAGAGAAAAGTAGGACGCAATGTTCAATATGAAATGTGAAACATGGTTGCATAGGATAATGTAAACAAATTTCATTGTTCGGTTTATTATGGGGAAGAGTGCCGAAAGTAATTGCATGGGAGAGAGGGCAAGTATACTAAGTCGAGTCAGCTCCCAATGTCCCCCCCCCCCATCAACCAACCCAACTACAACCCCATCCTTCCTGCCTGCCAATCACTGACACATACTAGACATAGATAACTCTGCCAACAAACAGAACAGCATAAATAATAAATCTACAGTTCCTTACCAATTTCTACCAAACAAATGTGTGTTAGATATGAAAAGTGCCTGCCTAGCATGGGCCAGTGGACTTGCTGCAGTGCACCTCTATTTTTATATAATGGTTGGGTGTAATTAGGACCTGCTTAACATGACCAAGTAGATCCACTGCAGTGCTCTTTTAGTCTTATATTCATAAAGTGTTTGGACTAACTACTTCTCTGTTACGCTCACAAATATTGTGACATTTTTAGCACTATTTTTAAATTCTCAGTATTTTTTCAAGTTTTGGCTAGTATATATTTTTCATCAGAACCAGTTGATCCCTTTTCAAGTCCCTTGCAAAAATAGGATGGACTTATACACGAGATATATATCTACATATATATTTTTTTTGGCAAAAGTCAGGGGTCAACCTATACACACCGTTAGGCTTATACTCAAGCTATACGGTAAACCATGTTAATTCCTGTGTATGTATAACATAAATTTTTGTCAAAATTTTTATCAAAATTTGGTGTGTGACTTTCATGGCTAACAAGTATTACACACATTTATATATGTGTGCATGTGTATATATATAATATATATTATATATATTATATAATATATATTATATATATATAATATATATATAATATATACATACATATACATACATACAATATACAATACATACATATAATATACATACAATAATACATACATATATATAATACATAACATAATATATACATATATATATACATACATATATATACATACATATACACATATATATATAATCATATATACATATATATATACATACAATACATACATACATATACATATACATACATACTAATACATACATAATATACATATACATACATATACATACATACATATACAATACATACATATACATAATAATCATACATACATATATACATACATACATATATCATACATACATACATATACATACATATAACATAACATACATATCAATACATATACATACATACATAATACATAATACATCATATACATACATAATATACATACATAATATACATATCATATACATACATACATATACATACATATACATACATATACATACATACATATATATACATACATATATATACATACATACATATACATACATACATATACATATACATACATATAATACATACATATAAACATACATATATATACAACAATACATATACTAATACATACATATATATATACATACATAATAATACTACATACATATATACATACATATACATATACAAATATATCATACTATATACATACTATATACATAATATACATAATATATACATACATATATATAACATACATATATATATACATACATATATATACATAATAATACACATATATACATACAATACATATCATAATACATACATATATAATAATACATATACATACATAATATAATAATAACATATATATATACATACATATATATACATACATAATATACATACATATACATACATATATACATACATATATATACATACATATATATACATAATAACATATACATACATATATACATACATACATAATATACATACATACATATAATACATACATATCATATACATACAATACATTATACATACATAATATCATACATAATACATAATACATACATATATATACATACATATTAACATACATATATATAATAACATACATATACATACATATATATACATACATATATATACATACATATACATACATTACATAATATATATATATACATACATATATATACATACATATATATAATAATATATATATACATACATATATATATAATATAATAATACATAATATATATATATATATATACATACATATATATATATATAATATACATACATATAATATATATATACATACTATATATATAATATATTATAATATAATATATAATATATTATATAATAACATACATATATATACATACATACACATACATACATCTATACATATATACACATATATAATGCATGTGTGACCCTTCACAACTTTTGGCAAAATGAATTAATCCATTCCATTGTGAATTAAAAAAGTGATAGAAAACTTAATTATGTTGCCAATAATGTTAACCCTTATGAAGCTGCATTTGAATCATGTTTCAAGTTTAAACTCCAGAAACTTTATCTTCTATGATAACATGCTCTATTAATATTCTTATGAATCTAAGAGCACAAATCACAATACTGTACTGATTTAAAATTTGCTATTTGTACAGCTGTTTATTATTCACGTTTAAACTTAAAGACAAGAATAAGGTATTAATATTCAATTTTCACATATGCTTTTTTTTTCCCAAACAGTTTGAGAAGACAGCTGTTGAAAGCCACTGATAAGCAGCACTGAAAATCTTGCAGTTAAAATCCTACACAAAATATGTGGAGAATGAAATAGTAAAATAGATATTTTTACTGGCCTTGCTTGCTGACTGACTCACTTTCTCATCAAGTATGCCAAGGAAATTTTAATGGAATCTTTCTTATGTAACCAATATGACAGAATCTAAACATCTCACACAAATGTTAAAAAATAGAGAAAAAATAATATGTAGGACATTTGTGTAGTGAATTCCAAACATAGGTATCACTGGTGCAGCAAAAGGGCTCAAGGTACAATGGATGGAACTAACTCACGAGCTTTATATCAACTTAATAATCTTACTATTCCGCTGGAATGTGAAACCTTTAATCCACATCTGGACGGATTTACCACTTACAAGAAGTGAAGTCGTACACATGCCAGCTAATATTTCCCCAAGCTATATCTGCTATCCACTTGCCCTTTCAAAATATTTTACCTACACTCCATATTTCATTCATCAAAAGAAATATGACACTAATTTATGTAGGTAGTGAGGCCTATTAATATCATGAGTTTATAAATATCCTTTGAGGCACTGACAGAGGTAACACATCTGAGACTTATATAAATTATATACACGTTAAGCAGCATTTGGTTCAAGAGGCATAAATACTTGTTTCAGATGTGCTCCGGCTTAAGTGACAAGACCTCAAGAGTATAGTGAACCAACTATTACTAAGACCTTTTCACTTAGGCACAAGAGTGGTATGACAATGGATGGTACATTTGCACTGTGCAATTTTTTCTGTACTTGGCCAGTGTAAAAACAAATTTCATTTTATAAATTTGTAAAGGCCTAACCGGTAATACTTCAGTATACAGTACATGCTAAGGAAGATGTATTGCCAAGTCTTAAACGTATTGCTACCTTGTACAGCATTATACTTTTAAAACATCATTAAATTTAATTATTTATCACTTATAGGGTGAATTTTATGCATATGCAAAAAAATGGCACATCAAGAAACTTCGTAAAACTTAAAAAAGGTACTGTACTCATTCATAAAACAAGGTAATAGGCAAAACCAATTACAAAAGAAAATAACATTTATAATTAAATTTTGAGAAGACTGCTAGGAAAATTAGACAGCTTCAGTAGCAAAGATTAAACTGAAAGCACCAATTAACATCTAACAGATTTACAGTAGTTTGTTTTTTTAACAACACTTCAGTCACCGACTGGCTCGCCAATAAAAGTTCTTATAGTAAATCCAACTTTATTGGCTTAGTTTATATCACTTGAAAATTCTCTTAATGCAGGTCTTACCAACCATTTAACTCGTGTTCCACATTCTTAACTGAGCAGTGTTGCTACACCAGTCAGAAATAGTCGTGCTAAAGCTCAACATGAGCTACTGACATTGAAAAGCAGATTATACATACATGAAATAATTTTAATTCTCTCTGTGCATATCAATGCAGTAAATCTTTAGATATTTTATATCAAAGCTTTATATGTTTTAACATATAAGCTAGACAAGAATGTGAAGCAATTACACATTTTATCTCAATATCTAAAAGATTAACAACCAAGAATATGCTTAAAATGATTCTAAAACTATTATTATATGCCTGACTAACTGCAATTATCACAGCATTTTATTTACAATCTGCATAAAAATTAAACCAAGGGAGAATATCATATATGTATTAATCTGGCCTTCACCGAGACTTGTTACCTCTACAAAATAAATGACATTTGTCATGGTTTACATAATGAGTACTAGTAAGAAACATTATAAACACAAAAACAATGAAAAATACAGTAATTCTTCCAAATTTGCAGAGTATTTTGCTAGAATTCCAGTGAAATAAATGTAAAAACAATTAGATCAAATTGATATACTCTACATTAATTTTATCAATTTTTTATTAGTGTTTTTGACCAAGGACATTTCTGTTTTGTTTATGATCATGCTGCATATGTTATGTTTAAGATTTTTTTTGTTGTTATTTTTACAAATCCAGGCAAAGTGTTCAACTGTATACACGAGAGTAATTAATGAACAACCACAAATTTCCTATATTTTTCAAACTTCAATCAAAAGAAAAAGACAATAATTTCAATGACTTGTCCAAATGAATGAATTTAGAAAAGTGCAATTACAGAAGGATTACTGTATTAGGAACATATGATATCATCAGCAGTGGTTAAGTTATCTTGAGCAAAATTATTTCAAACCAACTTATTCCAAGTAACAAAGTTAGCCTTTTAATACCAGATATCATAAGTATTCTGGTGCCATGTTGCTGGAATGTTCCACTTAAAGATGAAATTATCAACTTACTTCAACCTCGGAGAGGAATGCTATGGAAGTTTCATTTCCAATGAGTCATAATGTAACATGAACTTTTGAGTTTATCCTGGAAGAGGCTGAAGACCAACACCCGTACAAAAGTCAAATGTTTACCATTATTCTTCGCCCACACTATTCTGTTTCCATTCACAAACTATACAATATTCTTAAAGACATACTCATGAATATTGAATTTGTTCAGTTTTCTTTCTTAGTTCAAATAATGCAAAAAGTTTTCAGAAGCTCTTCCATTAGCACAAAGTATATAGGAAGCACTTCCACAGCATTATAAAAATCACATTTATTACAAGACACTTACGACTCATGAACACAATCACTTAACATCCATGTTTATGCAACCATTTAAAAAATTATATATTACATCATTGATTCAACTGCTCCAATTCCTCATCTGTTTTGGCTAGAGAGTGCCGAGATAATGCATTTGAATGCCGTGAAGGAGTGAGTGTTTTCTTTTTGTTCATGTCCTCCATATCATCAAAATTGTGATTCAAGGACATCCGGCTACCCTTTTTTGAGTTGCAGGCTGTACCAGAGTTTATATTATTCGAGCTGGTGCTATTCCTGGGAACATTATTGACACTAGCAGTGTGTGTGGTAGTAAGGCACTGCTTTTCTTGGTCATCAATCATATCTTCAAGCTGTACAGAGCCACTTGGATTGGCTGTGCGATCTGGCATGTTGCTATGTACCACCTTTCTTGATGGACCTGATGAAATATACACTTTAGGTATTCCACACACAATATTAATAAAAGTGTTCAAAATATACAAACTATGACTTTCACATTTTTTTGTGACTGCAATAAGTTGTGCAAACAAGGTACCATGAACCACTTCATAATACTGTGGTGAAGAGGTACAGGTGTGGCAGTGCCACCTCATGACCTGTGTACACCAAAGTATTAGCACAGGTTTTTGAAAAATGCCTTGCTGCTTATGATGCCCCAGAGCATCCACTTGGAGTATATCTTACCCAACCTGTCCTCAGATTTTTAAGTTAGTTACTTAGCTTACCTACATAAGCAGAATTTTCAATACAGACTATAGAGTCAAAATACAGCATTGGCTATTTAGATAAGTACATGCATATTTTTTTTTTTTCAACAAACCGGCCGTATCCCACCAAGGAAGGGTGGCCCAAAAAGAAAAACGAAAGTTTCTCTTTTTAAATTTAGTAATTTATACAGGAGAAGGGGTTACTAGGCCCTTGCTCCCGGCATTTTAGTCGCCTCTTACAACACACATGGCTTACGGAGGAAGAATTCTGTTTCACTTCCCCAGGGAGATGAGAGGAAATAAACAAAAAGAACAAGAACTAGGAAGAAAATAGAAGAAAACCCAGAGGGGTGTGTATGTATATGCTTGTACATGTATGCATAGTGTGACCTAAGTGTAAGTAGAAAGTAGCACGAGGTACCTGAAATCTTGCATGTTTATGAGACAGAAAAAAGACACCAGCAATCCTATCATCATGTAAAACAATTACAGGTTTCCATTTTACACTCACTTGGCAGGATGGTAGTACCTCCCTGGGTGGTTGCTGTCTACCAACCTACTACCTACAATGCATATTTATAACATAAGAATTTTTTTTAATTTATTGTCTTCTCTTATACTGGCAATACCTACCTCCTAAAATGTTAAGAGAGAATCAATGATAATCTAGCCAACCGAACCTAACCCACAAAGTATTTTTTTTTTAAACGCCGGTGGTTTCCCACCGAGGCAGGGTGACCCAAAAAATAAACACTTTCACCATCATTCACACAATCACTGTCTTTGCAGAAGTGCCCAGATATGACATTTTAGATGTCACTCCAAACAGTCAATATCTCAAACTCCTCCTATAAATATAGTACAGGCCTTGTACTTCCCACCTCCAGGACTCAAGTCTGGCCAACCTGTTTTCCTGAATCCCTTCACAAAATATTACCCTGCTCACACTAACAGCTCATCAGGTCCCAAAAACCACTAGTCTCCATTCACTCCTATCAGCTATTCATTTATGATGTTATAAGCACTGTTCCTGGAACAAATTTATTTTGCATTTTGAATCAAACCTCATCTATGTACAGTAGAGCACCAACTTATGTTGTTAATGTGTTCTTGAAAATTCGTCAAAATCAACTGTTCAGCAAATGGAACTTATTTACTCTTAGGAACTCTATGTTAGAATCAGACATTCGTTCCTGAACCATAATATTCCTTATCTAATCTCTGCTAACATTTATTTTTCAAAGAATTTTGACCCATTTACATTATTTAATTAAAGCATACATTGGGAAGTGGAATAAGAATCTTTCCTCAGTAAGCCATGTGTGATGTAAAAGTCAACTAAAATGCCAGGAGCAACGGGCTAGTGCCCCTTTTCCCATACAGCTTACTAAAAATATGAGAAAAACTGTCAAAGTGGAATGTTTGAATGTGCATGGATGTAGTGCATATGATAGATAGATAAATGTAGATGTTATGAATGAAAAGAAGCTGGATGTCCTGGCTCTAAGTGAAACAAACTTGAAGGGGGTAGGAGAATTTCAGTGGGGAGAAATAAATGGGATAAAGTCAGGGATTTCTAATAGAGTTAGAGCTAAGGAAGGAGTAGGAATAATGTTGAAGGATAAGTTATGGCAGGAAAAGAGGGAATATAAATGTTTAAATTCAAGGATTACGTAGAGTAAAATAAGGGTTGGATGTAAAAAGTGGGCTATAATAAGTGTTTATGCACCTGGGAAGAGAGAAGTGTAGAGGAGAGAGATATTTTGGGAAATGATGAGCGAGTGCATGGGGAGTTTTGAAACAAGAGAGAGTGTACTTGTGTTAGGAACCTAAATGCTAAAGTGTAAAATTGTTGTGAGAGTAGTAGGCAAATTTGGGGTGCCAGGGTAAATGAAAAGGGGGGGGGGGGCCTTTAACTGAACTATGTGTAGAGTTTTGGTAATAAGTACAGCCTCTCTTCATTTAGCGACGTACTCATTTATTGATGACTCGGACTTACGACAGGGTCTCTGACCAGTATGCATACCTAAATAATGTACGTATAATAGAGCTAATTTCCTCAATTCTGTTTATTACAATATACAGTGCACTACTGTGTAAACATTTAAAAATATACTAAAAATGTTATAAATGGTGCAAAGGTGATATTAAAACAATATCAAAGAAGGTTTACACAAGCCCAGTGTCATTATACTATGCTTATTGCTTAGCGACAAATTTGCTTACCAACATGGTCTTAGGAACAGAACTTCATTGTGAAGTGAGGAGAAGCTGTAATACAATTTTTATGAAACAAATTTCAACTACTCCGTTATGGAAAACTGGAGAGGATAATAACTAGAACAGAGTATATTATAAACTCTGGCCATACAATAGAGCAGAAAAATAATGTAAGGGACCTGAGAGTAGTAATGTCTGAGGATCTCACTTTCAAGGATCACAACAGTGCCACGATCACAAGTGCAAAGAAAATGATAGGATGGATAATGAGAACGTTCAAAACGAGAGATACCAAGCCAATGATGATCCTTTTCAAATTACTTGTTCTCTCTAGGCTGGAATACTGGTAGACAGCAACCACCCAGGGAAGTACTACCGTCCTGCCAGACGACTGTGAAACAAAAACCTGTAACTGTTTTGCATGATGGTAGGATTGCTGGTTTCTTTTTCTGTCTCATAAACACGCTAGATAACAGGGATATCTTGCTACTCCTACTTACACTTTGGTCACACTTCACAGACACGCACATGCATATATAATATATATACATACATCTAGGTTTTTCTCCTTTTTCTAAATAGCTCTTGTTTTTTTTTTATTTCTTCTATTGTCCATGGGGAAGTGGAAAATAATCTTTCCTCCGTAAGCCATGCGTGTCGTATGAGGCGACTAAAATGCCGGGAGCAATGGGCTAGTAAACCCCTTCTCCTGTATACATTTACTAAAAAAGAGAAGAAGAAAAACTTTATAAAACTGGGATGCTTAAATGTGCGTGGATGTAGTGCGGATGACAAGAAACAGATGATTGCTGATTTTATGAATGAAAAGAAGTTGGATGTCCTGGCTCTAAGCGAACAAAGCTGAAGGGGGTAGGAGAGTTTCAGTGGGGGGAAATAAATGGGATTAAATCTGGAGTATCTGAGAGAGTTAGAGCAAAGGAAGGTGTAGCAGTAATGTTAAATGATCAGTTATGGAAGGAGAAAAGAGAATATGAATGTGTAAATTCAAGAATTATGTGGATTAAAGTAAAGGTTGGATGCGAGAAGTGGGTCATAATAAGCGTGTATGCACCTGGAGAAGAGAGGAATGCAGAGGAGAGAGAGAGATTTTGGGAGATGTTAATGAATGTATAGGAGCCTTTGAACCAAGTGAGAGAGTAATTGTGGTAGGGGACTGAATGCTAAAGTAGGAGTAACTTTTAGAGAGGGTGTGGTAGGTAAGTTTGGGGTGCCAGGTGTAAATGATAATGGGGGCCCTTTGATTGACTTTGTATAGAAAGGGGTTTAGTTATAGGTAATACATATTTTAAGAAAAAAGGATAAATAAGTATACACGATATGATGTAGGGCGAAATGACAGTAGTTTGTTGGATTATGTATTGGTAGATAAAAGACTGTTGAGTAGACTTCAGGATGTACATGTTTATAGAGGGGCCACAGATATATCAGATCACTTTCTAGTTGTAGCTACACTGAGAGTAAAAGGTAGATGGGATACAAGAAGAATAGAAGCATCAGGGAAGAGAGAGGTGAAGGTTTATAAAAATAAAAGAGGAGGCAGTTAGGGTAAGATATAAACAGCTATTGGAGGATAGATGGGCTAATGAGAGCATAGGCAATGGGGTCGAAGAGGTATGGGGTAGGTTTAAAATGTAGTGTTAGAGTGTTCAGCAGAAGTTTGTGGTTACAGGAAAGTGGGTGCAGGAGGGAAGAGGAGCGATTGGTGGATGATGATGTAAAGAGAGTAGTAAGGAGAAAGTTAGCATATGAGAAGTTTTTACAAAGTAGAAGTGATGCAAGGAGGGAAGAGTAATATGGAGAAAAAGAGAGAGGTTAAGAGAGTGGTGAAGCAATGTAAAAAGAGAGCAAATGAAGAGTGGGTGAGATGTTATCAACAAATTTTTTGAAAATAAGAAAAAGTTTTGGAGTGAGATTAACAAGTTAAGAAAGCCTAGAGAACAAATGGATTTGTCAGTTAAAAATAGGAGAGGAGAGTTATTAATTGGAGAGTTAGAGGTATTGGGAAGATGGAGGGAATATTTTGAGGAATTGTTAAATGTTGATGAAGATAGGGAAGCTGTGATTTCGTGTATAGGGCAAGGAGGAATAACATCTTGTAGGAGTGAGGAAGAGCCAGTTGTGAGTGTGGGGGAAGTTCGTGAGGCAGTAGGTAAAATGAAAGGGGGTAAGGCAGCCGGGATTGATGGGATAAAGATAGAAATGTTAAAAGCAGGTGGGATATAGTTTTGGAGTGGTTGGTGCAATTATTTAATAAATGTATGGAAGAGGGTAAGGTACCTAGGGATTGGCAGAGAGCATGCATAGTTCCTTTGTATAAAGGCAAAGGGGATAAAAGAGAGTGCAAAAATTATAGGGGGATAAGTCTGTTGAGTGTACCTGGTAAAGTGTATGGTAGAGTTATAATTGAAAGAATTAAGAGTAAGATGGAGAATAGGATAGCAGATGAACAAGGAGGCTTTAGGAAAGGTAG